TACCGTATTAGACCTGTCCAAAGTGTATTTCAACTGGCCTTATTTGAGAGTCCTTCAGAATAACATTCATAGTGATAAAAACTGGGGGAAAACCCCACAACCAAACAAAACCCCTGCAACTATTGTGACACACGCCCAAGTGAAATATTAAGGTCAAGTGACTTTTACACTTTGGTCAGAATCAGAAGTGGAAAAAACTCAATTCACAGGAATATTGTTCAATATGTCTTTAAATAAAGCATTCATGAATATATTTGTATGTGGCAGCTTGGTATAAAAGGTACAAATATTTTTCAAAAYTGAGAATATATTAGAAAGTAAGCAATGAGGACTAAAAGTCAGTTTTTTTCACAGCCTCACCAAATCAATTTGGCTCAAATCCAGAAGAGAAAGCCAAAGGTCCAGTGAGATCCCACTCAAGCATAATAAATAAGACTGGAAAACACTTTTGCTGGGCACAGAAACAGCAGGTTTGGTTTGTTTTTAAATAGTTATCCTTCATAGCTACAACCTCAACACCAATGAGTCAGGAGTATCAGAGAACCTGAAATATTGATCACATGAAAGTTTATTTCTAATACAAAACAGCAAAAGCCAGTCTACTTAATCTCCAAAATCCCCGCAATCCTTAAATACACACATGCAACTAAAATTAATAGAAAAACATTCTTACCTTTTCTTTGAAAAAAAATAATGAGGCACACAGAAGTGCTGTTACAGAGRTTCCTTGTTCCATAGGGAATGAGGSATCTTCCCTTSYAGGAAACCCTTAAATAAAACCTGGAGCTAGCCTGGGCAGCACTCCTGCATTCSGTGCACAGAGCAGCCAGGGGATTGGTAAAGCTGAACTCAACTGTCTGCTGCACCCTCTCAACATAACACCAACACTGCAGCTCCACTCAGCAGTAAATCAGTTCCCTGCTTCTTCAACTGATTGACTAATGAGCACAATAATCAGTCAACGATTTATACATGGAAACAGGAACACCTGAATGTTCTCACTTTTCTTACCTGTTTGGTGAGCTTTTCAATTTGAAACAAAATCGCAAATATATGGGATTTTGAATTTTTATCAGTATTTCCGGTAACACCGTGTAAAAAACACACTGAAGAAATAATTTCTCTTTTCACAGAGGAACACAGAAATTTTTAAATTGTTCAATGAAGATTCCTTGCTACCACTCCCATGGATACCACTCTGTCAGAAATCCATAACCAAACATGGTCTCAGGTGATTTTTGCTCTTCTGGATTCACACATTAAAAAACCCACATAGTATATGTCTCACTATTTATTCACCTGAATTGTCATACTGATCTTGCAGAGCGACACAGAAGTAAGCCAAATTCAACTGTTCCTTTGCACCACAAGAAACTTTATGAAATTATAATATTAATTAAGCAAGMAGCAGTTTCCTGCACCTGTTCATAGAGCAGAGMAATCTTACCAATGGACAATTAGCCRTACCACCACTACCAGAAGAACATCAGAATTTCTTGGATGAAGGGAAAAATATTAAAATTTTGTCTCCTTACTCCAACACACACAATATTTTCAACTCTGCCAACACAATACAGAATGAAAATCTCAGAAGACATTGGAAGCAATTTTCAAATGGTTGGTTTTTCAGACTCAAAGACTGAATAGCTGACCGCAAGTCACTCAAAAGACACTATATTTCAGAACTCTCCCTTTCTAGATTCAACCCATCTCTTCATCAATGACATTCTTTCCCTAGGAAGTAGAAATCAGTTTCCAAATATTTAATTGTAGGTGGGAAAAGACTACAAAATACAAGGTTTTATTGTACTTGAGACTAGAGGAAAGTATTACTTTCATTTTTTCATTTCCTTCAAATTCGAGAAAAAGTAACAAGCAAACAAATGACAACAAAAACTAACAGATATATGAACTCGTTTCACCAATAAAGCTTGGAAATTCACAAAGGATTTCACCAAATAAATGTCAGTGGCTGAACTTGGCAGAAGCCATTCCCCACAGCAGTGCTGCTTTCCTAGAATGAACTAATGCCCTTCAGTAATACAGAAAGTCAGTCACTCGGGCAAGGCAGGATTTAGAAGAGATCAAGGATTAGCATCTCTGAACATTGGAGTCAAATGAAGCATTTTGGATCCTATGTCAATTCAGAGCTCATCATGTTTTGCAGGGTCCAGACTGGGTTTGATGAAGACTCCCTCCATGGCTTTCCAATAGTTGTGGTGGTTGGCAGCAGGCATGCCATGAACTTCCCTCTGGCCTCTAATGGGGTGGCCATACTGCTCCCCTGTGATGGACAGGAACACCTCCGTCCCCACGTGCTTGAAGCGCACTGCATCCTCCCGCTCCCAGTAAGTCCCACTGCATTGCACAATCCAGAAATCCAGGTCATCTCCTTCGCCATCATCACCAAAGGCACTTACTTCCTGTTAGAGACACAAGCTTCCTGAAGTGAAAGTGTAAGCAAACACCTCCAGGACACACAAATATCAACCAAAGACACAGCAGAGTTTGAAGACAAGGATGGGGAAAGAAAAATTGTTGTTACTTTGCTTTGTAAACAGTTACCAGGCCCAGAAGCAGTAAGGTTCTACCACTACAATCTGAACACAAAGTACCAACAAACTCCAACTCGTAATCTGAGCAAAAAATGCTAAAAAAACTCCAAACAAAACAAAACTGCACAATGAGAACTGAACATTCTTACAATAATGACAATATATGAAGTGTCTACACAGAAAAATGAAACCTGGGGGAAAGTTCTAGAGTCAATCTTTCCCTTAAATAATTCTTCTGAAATGTTGTTTTTCCATCCCTTCGTTTAATGATCAGGTTATCTGGACACCCTACAAAAAGATGAATCTTAGTGTTTCAGCCACTTTACTTCATGGAGAGAGAAAAGCCTTTTCCACAGAGCCAGATCTTCCAAGTTTGAATCTAACAACTGATCTACATAGCCTGATGGAAGATTGATGTGACAGTAACAATAAAAATAATGTGATGTAACAATAAAAATCTTCCAACAACTGCGTTATATAAGAGAGATTTTCAAACTTGAAGAAGCATTTGTTCAAGGACAAGACTGCTGCTGAATTACAGTTAGAAATTACACTCTTCTAGATACGTACAAAATTATAAATAAGTATGTATGACTGCAAGAGGAGACTGTTTTCCTGTGGAAGCAGGACAGATAAATAAGAACAGTGAAGTGAAATAGGGATAGTAAGAAGGTGATTGAGACTAATAGACTGGACCACCAAGGAACTTGGRCATAGGAATGCTAGTATTATAACACACGATTAGTTGCCTTACTCTACAGCAATCCTGAATGCTGAAGGAGGTGCCCTGACCTTGAAAACACCAAACATTTCAGAACACTCTCTTCACTAGCAATGGTGCAGAACAAAAAGAAAAACAAAAACAAAGCAAGCAAGATTTGTTAAAACTACTGTGAAATACCAAAATACCAAATACTGGCACATTTTAAATACGTCATTTCAAGATGCAGAAAAGCATATTCTTATATCTGGATATACACAGACATATTGCTTCTGGCAGTTTGGAGAATCAGGTACTCAAGCCTGATTCTCCAAAAACACGAGTAACTGGAGAGAYTATTGTCAATAGCATGCACTGTTTATACAAAAGCTTGAGATTTAAATCAACTCACTTGGTTATTGGAGAGTGGTGATGGGAAGTGATGAGTGTGTAGATTTTTCCCCGTGTTAACGTGGGTGAGTCGTATRGCTTGCCCACATTTCACTGGTGTCCCACGCTGGCAAATGCTGTCACTCTTGCCACGGATCCGCCAGTAGCTGTTGGCATCATCTGAAGCTTCAACTCCTGTCACTGACTGCTGCCCACTTCCTGTTTGAATAGAATTAAATGACACAAGACTTATCCCGCTTCCCCAGTTCAAAAGACATGAAAGAACTAAAGAAATGTGCTTTGATGTCCTCATGCCTTCATGTTTACGAGGTGCTTAATTGTCCCAGTGCCTTCACTGACTGCAAAGGGAATGCAGGTACCAAATGATCTTTCAGATGGAAGTAGTGAAACACAGCGTGTATTAGCAGATGCAAACTGTCAAAGTTCATGGTGAACACACAAGAAGAAAATGTGGTCCATGACAGGTACTGTTCATACCATCCCACCTTTATTAAAAACACTGTCAAGGTCTTTGTGTCCCCAAACAGACCAACACATCGTTGCCAGAACAGACACTGGGAAGGTACTGCTGAGGCCTTTAACACTGAACAGGGCTCACCTCAGGGATGAGGGCAAAACACCCCTGACACGTCCCGGCTCCAGGACCCACCCAAMAGCTGACCCGCAGACCTCAGCATCCTCCTGTCCTTGCCATGTCTCCAGAGCATCCCTACACCCCGTCCCTGAYCTGTTGCTTCCCTCTGCACCAAGGACACGAACCTCGGGAAGCGTCAACTTCATCCTCCTTCCCCASCACCCTCACTGCCTGCCCATCCCCGCCGTTTCCCTGACAACCCCCTGCCAGGCGCCACCTGTCCCCTACCGCTTCCTCGCCCCCCTCACGGCCCGTCCCCCGSCATTTTCCAGCTCCCCGGTTGGGCCCTGCTCACCGGAGCCGTACTTGACCTCGTGCGAGTGGAGCCGCACGCTGTGGCGAGTGTTGAGCAGCTTCAGCACCGAGCCGCAGGTCACGGCGCCCGGCGCCGACTCCCTGCCGTGGCACAGTCCGGGCAGCAGCGCCAAGAGCAGCAGCGGGAAGAGGCGGCGGCCRCCCCGCATCGCGCCGCACCCGGCCGGCTCCGCCGCCCCCTCAGCCCGGCCACCACCACCGCCCTCAGCGCGCCGCTTCCGCTCCTCCGCGCGGGCCGCCGATCGCCCCGCCCACCGCCGCGCTCAGCCAATCCCCGCCCGCTCTCCGCGACGCCGCGCACTCTCATTGGGCTGCGGCGAACCGGCAMGGGGGAAAGTGGCCAATCAGAGCCCGCGGCGTGGCGGCCCCACCGGGAGGACGCGAAGGAGAACTGCGGGCTGTGTTCCCTCACGGAGCCGGGCCCGGCCCGCGCTCCCTCAAGCTGCCGTCGGGCCCGGAGCGGGGAGCGGGGTCACCCCCGGCTGCCGGGCACCCCTGGGCAGCCCCGACACGACTCTGCAGTTTGCTCTTGCTGAAAACGTAGGAGGAGAGGCCAGGTCTGTCACYGCTGACCTCTCGTCTGACGTGGTCTGGGCTGTATGATAAATTATAGCCAAGTCACCGTGAGGGGTTGTTAAAGGGCCCTGGGGGGAAAATGTGCTGTGGGTAGGACTGTTCAGTTATTACTAGAGCCAGGGAAGGACAAATGTCCTGACAGCAGAGCAGCGTCAAACAGGCTCTGAGGTSACAGCCCAGGTACGGGCAGTGTTTAGACACAGCCTCAGGGAGCCGCAGTTGGCACTGCCAGGTCAATCGGCCCCTGCTGTTCCATTCAGGCCGCTTAGAGCTCTGAGCTGGCAGGCGGCACATTCGGGTCTGCTCCTACCTGCAGTTCTGCCTCTCAGAATAAAGAAAAATATCTACTCATTWGGGGGATTTGCAGAGAAAAGTAACACCGTGTTGAAAAGCAAAGTGAATTCATATTTGTGAAATTACTTGGATGATAATGCATCGCAACTCCAGTAATTTCTGGATTATATTAGAGCTTCTAATTATCGGGCATAAACACTACCAAAGAAGAACAAATGATGTAACTTGCTGTAACATTAAGATGTTGCAATAACATCTTTGCTTTGAAGCACCACCTGTGCTTCAGTCTCTTGCAAAGTACTTCTATCAAAACGATTATTAAGCTCTATTCTGTAGAAAAAACACCTGCCTAAATTAACATATATACTGTCCTTTATTGCATAGTTTTTCAAACTGAAGAAAAATCTCCCCCTCCTAAAAAAAAAAAACCCAAAACAATAACAACAACAACAAAAAAACCTCAGTAAGAAGCAGCCGTGGACGAAGGATGACTCCTACACAGTTCATTAGCTTTTGCTTCTGAAACTGCTCATTGGGTTGACCCATGTACCACATCACAGTCTTGTGTGAGTCCCACATTGTAAAATTGTAAAGAATGAAACGTAATTTAAAAGAGCGAAAGAGTTTGATCTTCTTGGTGGCAAGAAAAAAGGTAGAAGGGCTCCTGTCTTGGGACTTAAGTCTTTGTAACAATGGTATTTTGTCCTTGCAACAGCAAAGAACTGAAACACTGCACTTGCTATTATGGGATGATTTAGAAAGCACATTAGTGTTGCTGGGTAGTGCAAACATCATAAGATGCTCAGCTGACTCTCTTCCACCAGTCCTGAAGCAGCAAGGCTTTTTCCTGCCCACTCAATCAAATGATTAGGTTTTTTTTTGTGCTGCCTTTGTCCCATTTTCTATTGCTATACCTACATTTAAAAAAAAAAWWAAATCTCTGACTTAAATGCCAGGCCAGCMTTAAAACAAGCCTAAGTACTAAACTCAGTCACATAACACATGTGTCTACACACASACTGTGTGCTTTTCTCAGGAATAAAAACTCATTTCCTTGTGCTGGAAGTATAAAGGTTTACAGAAAAGCCAGACATCCCCCATTGATAGTCAAATGCCATATTTTTATGTCATTCTAAGAAGCCTTGCTGTTCTAACTAAGACAACAGCTCACATTTGCTTCTGTTGTTATAACTGGGGCAAAACCAGATGTCTGTGGTTGCCATTTTAGCCRTGGAAAATCAATCATATGGGGCTTTAGCTGGCACCTGTCTATCTTTCTGGGAGGTCGCTCAGTCTCAGTGCATTTAGTGCCGTTTACATGGTGCTTCCTACAATGCTTTTCAGTCCCACTTTAGAAACATAATTGGGTTAGAACGGTTGCCAACAAAGAGCCCCTCAATGCCAAACACCCACGGCAATTAACAGCCACCTCATTGCAACAGGACCCTCTATTGTTTCTGGTATTTCTGGTAGATTGCTCTAAGCTCCAGGTAAAATTGCCTCAGAAATTATGTGACTTCACATTGGTCATGGGAGCATCAACTTTTTGGACAGGAATCTCATTAAGAATCTTGTTTATGCTCACAAACAAAATAATTCAACAGTGGCGTAAAAGGGGAGAATGTAAAATGGAACTAAAAAGACTTCAATCACTTTATCCCCCAGTCCTTGTGCATAATTGATTTTCAAGAATTTTGGAAATTCCTACCATTTCCACTCAGGTGCAGCTGTAGGTATAAYCTGGCCCTCCCTGAAATAATGATTGAGCAATGCCAAGTGCTTTTAGCTTTCAGGAATGAAAAATCTGTGGCACAAGAAAATTTCAGAGSGTGTATGCTGACACTAAGCAACAGATTATAGAAAAAGGATATAGTTTTTATGTTGGCTTTTGTTAAAATGCTTTAAGTATTCCTTGTTTTGCATGACTGGAGCTATTACTGACAACTAAGGCAGCAGAGCTGGCAGCTCCTGGGCATGACATACACCCCAGAGATGCATCTTTTGGTGTACACAGCCTTTGATTTATGGACAACACTGCAGCAACACCTGGGATCTTTCTCAGACCAACACAAATCTTGGGCAAAACAGACAGGGACAGTTCTTAAGAAGCTGGTACCTAATATAGAAACAAGTCCATGTGAGCTCTTCCATTGGCTTTTCTCTGCATCTGGTCCCTTTTCTGGGACAATAGGGGTGAACTCTACTGAACTCAAGAGAGTAACTACAGACAATCAGGTCTGTAAAGATATTGTGGGGTTTTTTTTCTGTTTCCTTTCACTCTACACTAAGGAACAGCTGGTTATAAACCTCACTTCAGATGAAACATTTGTCTCCACTGGCATGCCTTACAACAGAGCTCATCCAACTGTGACCTCTAAGCCTCATACAAATAGTGAACGGGAGTAATAATGATAAAATGCTGACACCCAGGGAGAAATTGAAGTGACAAAAAATGGCTTGTCAAAAATTTATAGAATTCCAGATTCTTATCACTCAGCCTGAGATGTTTAAGGACTAGATAACCAAAATAATTTGCTCAGATTTTTTCATTCAGTAGATGTAAACATAATGTAAGAATAAGTAAATAAGCAGAAGCACATTTGACAAAATAAAATKAACATATACATATATACATATTTAAATTGAAGATATTTTCATCTGGGGGAGAATAGTTGATGTTTTTAAATTCCTGCCTTCTGTTTCCAGTCTTTGAGGGAGAGAAGATTTCCTGGAAAGTTCTGCAGAGTCCTGGCCATCTGTGTCCATCACTGTCACCGTCTCTCAGCCACTCCCATGACTGATGCTGGTCCTTCAAGAAAAGGAGATCTCCCCTCAGAGCCCCAAAGGAATTAATGTGCCTTTCCACTCAATCAAGTGGGATTTTCYGGGTGATTTCAGTGATGCTGGGAGATGACAACAATCATTGTAAGTGATCTGCCAGGTTAACCTACATGTGTAGTAACATTGCTGAGGCATTCCCAATGTTTGCACTAATTCTTTTTTTTTTCCTTAACATGAGGACCTGCCTCTGGTATTTTTAATTCATTTTAATGGCTTCTGATCAACATTTGTAAAAATCAGGCTTAACTMTGCTTTTGTTTAGACAGTGTAAGTTGAAGCTGAGTAAGTTATTTAGAATTTGTAGGCATGGACTGAAATTGTGGTTTTAATGACTGGCTTCTATTTTAGAATAAGAATGTAAAAATTCAATGTATGTTTCATCAGTTCAGGCAGCTTTTAAAATAATTTAGTTGTTCATGGGTTTTGAAAAACCTCTAGACATGTGTTTCAGTACTAGGTAAATACTAATGTAATTCTGAAAATTCCACTGAGCATCTATGCATCTTTTATATAATCTGCCCCTTTATGACCTCAATAAAAGTGTTATTCTGCCTAGAGATAATTTCCTCTAGGAAMCTTTATCATAAATACCAAGAAATGAGCTCCAGATAGTATGATAACTTTCAGAGAGGTCAAACTGAATTCCTGATGCAATCGAACAGTTAATGGAATCAGATAGTCCAGGTTAAGCTATTAATGTRCACAAGTTAAACAGTACCTATTTTGGACCCATTATTCAATCATCTAGGAGAAATATTCCCTGTCTCAACTCATTTTTGACCAGGTGTCTTTGTATGCTTAATAGACCTCAACATCAGGCAAAGAGGCATCTGGGGAAGAAATGTGMAGGCTTGACATCATCTCAATCCCAGTCAGAAGTCACAGATGCTGTAGCTTAGTTCATATTAAAATATTATTTGTTACCATACATTAGACACTGAAGGAAATGCAGCAGAGAGAAAATAACCCTCTGAAGAAAGGGAGAGTGGATTAAAATTCATCATCCACAAGCCACAGCATCACCGAGGACCAGAGGCCTGCTATGTGCATAGGGAGGGATTTGAGTTTGGTAATTTTAACAGCCCTCCATAATTTAATGCTGGGTGCCAAGTTAATAATAAGGTCACAATGGCAAATGTTGCCTTTCACTTTCAGCCACTTTGCTAGGACCATGCACCTTGCCAGGTACTGGCATTATTTTGTGTTGGTGTAAATTCAGGTATTTCAGACATGGGTGAGGGAAGGTGACAGGTACTGCCTGGCTGTGTCACATGGTGAGCAGGGAGGCCTTTYACTCTTAGCAGATGTACCCCAGAATTTGGAGATTTCAACCCTTTCTGATGCAAGATGGAGGAAACTCTTTTACAGATGAAGAGCTTTAGTTTAAGCATTTCTACAGAAGCCACTGAACTTCAAAGATTTAGTAAATCTTTGAAGCTGGGGCAGGGAAGAAAATGTTTACATCCTTTCATTTAAAAAATGGATTTTACTTTGTCTCATTTCAATGCCTTTTACAATTCACACTTTCAACAAAATTTYATGCAAAGAAAAGACAAACCAAGTCCTACTGTGCTACCATTGTAATCCCAAATGAACTAAATAGCTGCAGCCAAGGGAACAAGAAAAAGAAAACACATTTTTATGTCAACATGTAAACAGGTGCCTTGTTGGAAGTAGTAATTGTTGGGAAACGCTTTTGTGAAAAACAGGAAACCTCTAAATTTGCTACTGAATAACTCAAAATTCAGGAAAAGAAATTCAAGCTCAACAGCAGTGAAGCACTTGAGGATGGTGAGAGCTCGTGCTTGCTTTTGCAGCTAAGATGAGGAAGGGCTATATTTTGTTTTAGTTAAGCTGGAAGATGCATCCCCTTCTTAGTGCATATCCTGGCATCCAGAATTGCTGGCCAATGTTTCTGTCATCATTGCAGTGGAAAGGCTATCCAGAGGAAGTTTGCCTTGCCTTTCAGCTCCAGGTTGAATTTTTAAGGGCTTTTCTCCTTTGGACTTCTATGGGGGTCAGCTGCAAGGGCTGTTTTGGCAGCCAGCTGTGTATGCAGGCTGCAAAGGGAACATTGCTGGGATCTAAGAAGATGTGGCACTGGGGCAAAATTTGTTTGCTGGGGAATGTTTGTTTCCAGTTACAGGAAGGAAAGCTGGATAAACAGGTATGAAATCAGAAAAGAAAAGCCTTCAGGAAGTGCATTAAATATTTAAGAAGGATRTTACCGTTAATAGCATTAAATGCATACTGAGGTTAAGAAGGCTGAGAAGCCAAGCTTTGTCTAAGATTCTTATGTAGTGCCTCTCACCTGTGCAGAGGCAGAGAGCACTGGCAGTTCTAGAAAGAGGCAGAAAACCCCAGAGTTTGCATTGGCAGAGACAGGAGGTACTTATTTTGTGATTCATGATGTTACTTCAGAGTTGTGCTGACTTCAGCTGTTATATTAACAGCACTCATCTGTAAGTGAAGCCTCTTGGGGAATGTGGGCAGGCTGTGATGTTCATCTCCCAGAAGGGRAAGCAAGTAGCAGTTGCACAAATATCCCCCCTGAAATGCCAAGGGCACTAGAAACCTCTACAGAGCATCAAAAACTTTTCTGTAACAGCCATACAACTATCAAATGACAGAAAAGCTCACAGGAATTGCCTGAATGAAGATTTAGCAAGTTCTCTACAGCATTTTAGTCATGATCTGTTTTGAATTTCATTTAATATAATTTTTTACTGAGAGAAAATGTCACTGAAGAGGCAGAAGGCTGTCTCCAGTTTTAACCATCGTTTCCAGTAGTCAGTGTTCATTTACATGAACAGGGAAGAGCAAGAAAGAGTAAGAAAGTGACAGGCAGCTGATGTCCACTCTCAATGCAGCAGAAGTTTCCCACATTCCAATTTCAGGCCCTGTAGGGAGACCACAGCCTAGGAACCAGATTTTCCCATTATTAATATTGCTACCACCCATCCTGCTTTTATTTTTCTCCTACAAAGTATCAAAAGAAGCTTACAAATAACCATCCAAAACTTAGCTGCCTCTCAAAGTGCCCTCAGGCTAATGGAAACAAGGTTCTGTAGCAGTTTGCTRTGTGGGCTGGAGTTAATGAGAGCCTTAAGATGAACAGGGCTGCCACCTACCYCAATTCAGTGATTCCAAATTCCTTGTTTGGAGACAGACCTGGAAAGCCACTACTTACACAGGTGTTCATGCCCCCACGTAATGTTTCAAACTTCAGTTCCAGGTGTGAAAATGGTGGAATTTCCTCTGCTGAAGTGTGCTTTTCTGTCTCCAAATTGATAGTTCTTCCTTGGCTGAGAACAGTCAGTCTCTGGCTGTGCCTCCAAATCATGTTCTTGATTTTGGGGCTCTCTTTTAGGAATTGAGCTCTGCTGAAAAAGAAGACACCCAGAGGCTTTGGTTTCTTTATAGATGAATTAAGCAGCATGATGGTCAGTCCATTCCCACAGAAACAACTCTTATAGCCTTTTCCAACACATTTCACTCCAGCTGCTCTTTCAAGAAGCCTGTGCTTGGCTTGACAGCTGTTTCTTCTCTTACCTCCATGTTGGCACAGGTTCAGAGGTGCAAATCACCATCATCCATGCAAAAGTCCTAGTTCAAGTGTGATCCCTGCTTCCTGGAGCAGTCTAGCAGCAAACACCAAGACAGCTGTCCAGATCCATGGACATGTTACCTTGGCACTTCATGAGTTGCCACTCTCCCTACCCCAAACATGAGTTTGTTGTTTCTCCTGCAATATCAGAAGTGGGTGAATGTTTTGGGATAACATTACAGACCAAGAAGGGGGTTGTTCTGCTTTGATAAAACTTCATCCTCTTTCACAGGTGAAAAACATAGGCTGACAGTATCTTGCACTCACCATTTCTAAGCTAACTATTTGGCACTTTCACTTTCATCCTGGTATATCCAGAATAGTTTTTCTACAGTAAGAAAAAGCAGTTCCATGCCAGGACAAACAAGATTTTACATGCAGCTTGATGGAGAGCTGGCTGACATCCAGCACTATATGACAGCATGTTAGAAGCTGCTCTTTGTGAAACTCTCTTCTGGTCTGCCTGCCCTTCCCCATCCCAGCACCAGGAGTTGTGGGACCTCCTGGCCAGGGTTTGCTGCCCTATGGCTTTAAAGTCAGACGGAGTGCAAACTGCCCACAAACCAAGGTGGGGGAAAACAAGCAAATGGCTATCGTGATGGTCACCGATTATGGGATTGTATATCCATGGCATTCTTGGGATGATCAGTTTTGCGCGAAGCCAGCACAGAACATGAACCTCGGCCTTGCGTCAGAGCACCCCGGGAATTCTGTGTGCGGCAGCCCGACTGCAGCCAGGCCGGGCCGTGCGGGAACCGTTCCCGGGCCGTGCCGGACTAACCCGGGGAAGGGGGGAACCGTTCCCGGGCCGTGCCGGACTAACCCGGGGAAGGGGGGAACCGTTCCCGGGCCGTGCCGGGCCGTGCGGCGCTGCTGGTCGCAGCCGCCAGGGGCCGCCGGCGGGGCCTCCCCGGTGCTCGGCGCGCTCGGAGGCGCCGGCGCTGCGGCGGGGCCGCCCGGTGCTCCCCTCACCGCGGGTGCTCCCCCTGGGATCGCTCCCAGCGCGGGCAGGGGGGATGCACGGCGGGGCAGCGCGGGCACAGCTCCGCCACCGGGGCCAGCGTCCCTCCCGGGGCAGCGGCGGCCGCGGCCACCCACAGCTGGCGGCGGCCCTGGGATCGGGATCGGGCCGGAGCGGAGGTACACACCGCGCCGGGAGCGGGAGGAGGGCTGGCGGGCCCCCTTCGCCGCCGCTGCTGTGAGAGGGCAGGGCCGGGCCGCCGGAGGCCGCTCCGGTCCCGTTGTCCTCGGGGACACGGCCCGCACCCTCTCCGGATGGGGCCGGGGGTCGGTGGCCCCAAGGACGTCACGGCTGCGAGGTGGCCTCAGGTGATCCGCACTGGCGCCATTTCACTGGGCACCGCGGCGAGGGTGTGCCCGGGAAAGGAATTTGATCCCCTGGCACACCTTCCATCGATTAAATCATCCCACCAAATCCCTGACCTTTCGCACGCCCCTCATCCCCAGAAGCACAAAATGCACGCAAGGGTTTGTCCCCACAGGGGAGGGCAGGGTTGGTGCTCTCAGGCAGCAGCGGGCAGAGATGGTGTGAGCCCGGCGGCCGCTCGCAAATCCGGCCACTGTGCGAGCTGCGAGACAGCGGCGGCTGAGGTGGAGCAGGAGGAGTTAGTCAGGGGCTGAGTCACGACGGGGATCGCCCCCGGTAAGCCTGTCTTTTCCTGTTTGCCCGGGATGTGCAGACTGCCGAGTGTTCCGATTTAACCTCCTTTACTTTTTTTTTGCCAGGGATGACATCTAAGGATGCTCCAGGTGAAGCTAATAGTAACTGGAGATGACTTTGGCTATTGTCCTCGGAGAAACCAAGGCATCGTGGACTGTTTCCTGGCTGGTGCGATATCTAACGTGTCCCTTCTAGTCAACGGAAGTGCTGCTGCAGATGCAGCCAAGCTGGCAAGGAGGTAAGCTACTTTCTTTAGCTCCTTTGTGGACAGTYTCCACTACTACTGGAAAATGTAGTTTTTTATAGCTCCAGCATAAACACTGTATCTTAGCTCAGGCTGGTATAAGAAAACTGAATTCAGACAGATTTACTAGGACTCTTCATAGTAAAACCAGTGATCTGCCAACCATACCCATAATGGTCTTTCTCTATAATTAGCTACTGCACCTCTTTTCCCCCTCAGGATAGAAGCCCCTCCCACTATTTGACTAATAGAATTTGGGTTTGTTAGACATTCTCTTCCAACATTTCTAAAAGATGCATCATCAGAATGAAAGTGCACATTATATACTCAGACCAATCTGCTACCTCTAAAACTATTAGAGCATAAAAGCACAAATCTTGAAATCTCATTTAATTTGATCCATTTCATCCAGGCTGAGCACAAGGTCAGCCAGGCTCACTGCAGAATCAGGGAAAGGTGTGATTCTGCAAGGGCTTATTCGTAAATCTGGGCAGTGGAAAACTTGATTTATTTTTCCACTCCATAAACCTGTTTTTAAAAAAGCACATCAATATTTCTATTATTGCTATCACTTAGAATATTTCTATTCTAAGCTTAATAAACACATCTGTAAAAATGCATGCATAAAGAAAAGGACAATACCTTGTAACTACCACCTTTATTTCTTCACCAACTTCAGAGGCTGCTGACGCATTTAGCTCTGCACCACATTAAATGCTATGAGGCAGTCCCWTGGACTAGTCCACCAAATCCTTTAATAGGAAGCATTATTGGTATTTAGGAGGTAAAACCCCACTAATGCTTCAGSTCCAATGTGGGTAGGCACTAGGAAGCAGAAGTATGTCCTGAAAGGGAACATCAGGGTTGAGAAACAATTTAGGAAAGCAGAAAATGAAAGGAGCTATACTGGTACTAAATAAACGGAGACCTTATGCTTCAAATGCAACTGATGTAGGGGGAGGGTTTCATGGGAGTCCTGCTGTCCTTGTTCTCCTTGAGCATCTCTCCTCAGTTTGCTGCGGTTTTAGGGGTACTTGGAAATTGCTCGTAGCTTCTTTGGTATAGGGTAGTGGAGGAAGGCCCAGGTGTGGTGTTAGCAGCAAACCAGACTGTTAAAAAGGCCAGAAATTCCACACAAACATGGATAGAGGAACTGTCTGAGAATGAGAAGGGGAGGGGCACAACACCACTGAGATTCCTAAAATCCTATTAGTAAATTAAACATAAAACACAGAGATAAAGCCAGCACGTGTCTCAGACACAGAGGCTCTGTGAAACCCTTTAAGCCCCAATGRTCTGCTAATGTTGTCAGCTATTTTAGCCATGGTCTTTAGCAGGCTTTTAAAATAGAATCCACCTGGCCTCATTTCCATAGCCAGGAAGTAGGCCATGTAATGAAGGGTTTAAAAAGCATCTTTGAATCCAGGTCATGACACTTGTGCTGGCAGCTGATGAGGTTGTGAAAAGCCAGGTTGGAGGGCAGAGGACAGCAGAGGCTGCAGCCACAATTTGACTTTTTTTTTTTTTTTTTTTTTTTTTTTTGGTGGGGGGAGGGGGAATTGAATTTTGAATTGTTAATATGAATGAAATGGATTTAAATCTGTTTCTGAGCATATAAGCAGGGTGGCTTAGGGAAAATCTGCCAGCACTGAAAATCAAGAGCTCACATTCTACAGTTCCTTATTTGTGTAATTCTCTGYAGGTGTATTCAGCCCTACCCAGACATGGGGAGAGCATTAGCAGGTGTGGGGAGGAGTGTTCCCTCATGGTGGAATGCCATGCTGGAATYAGCCCAGCTTCAGCTGCTGCTAATCAGCACCTGTGTGTGTAAACAAACTCCTGTGTCACCCCTGAGATATTTGTTCTGTTACAAAGGATGACGCAAACGCTTTCTACCCAGAGGTCAAATAGGTCAGACTTACCAGAAATGTCATTGAATCGTCCTCATCTTGTGAGGCAAAAATGGGGAAGTATCACTTGCTTGACTGCTTTGCCAGTATTATTCCCTCTTCCCCCTGCTTGGAGTCTCCATCTCCCATCCCACTGTAAATATTGAGGCTTTTTGTTTTATGGGATGAAAGTCTGTCTGGTTTTTTTTCTCCTCATGTTTGCCTCCCCCTACTCAGCCTTGACCAGTGGTGGAAGTAGGAAGAGTATCCTTAGCTGGGAGAAGAGGCTTGAAGCAAGCAGCTTGTTCTTTCCTGGGGGACATTCCAGTGCTGTGGAATTTGGTGTTTTACACAGATGGTGCCAGGATTGCAAGAGTGATGGACTGCTTCTGTGGCTCATTGATAAACTGCCTATGACATGGTTGCTTGTCACTGCAAGTCTTAAGCTCTTACTGCTCACCTGGTTTCCAGTTAATTGGACACAGGCAAAGCTAATTAATAACTAGACAACTTTTCCTTTCTTAGCACCTTATGCTGCCCTGCAATGTTAGTTCTCAGCATCCTTCAGAAAGGAACACAGTTCCTTTGAAATTTCTGTCTTCCTTTCATTTTCACAACAATTCTGTAGGTTTCTGGGTATACCATCTGTTGCCTCRAGTTTTGATTAGAAGCCTTGGCAGACATGTGATGATAGTCAGCAGATCTTTGTATCAGCTCTAACACAAGCCAACTGCAGAAGAGCAGAACCAAGCAGTAAATAATACACCTTCCTTAACATGCGGGCTCAGGATCTTGGGCTTTCCTCATTCCATGTCACAACTGGGCTGAAAGAAGTGGCACACTCACAGAGAAGTTTCAACAGAGGCCTGATCCATCACCAAATGACAAACCTATTGATAGCATCTGCCAGAGCAGAGTATAACCAGGGTGGCAGGTGGGAGAACAGACTGCCTTTGTGGGTTGAGGGTTTTTTCAGTAACTCAAAACTTTTCTCTTTATGGGGCCTTGACTGACTGTGATTTCCTGCTTATCCAAATAAYATAATCTCAATTTTCTGCTTAACAGGCCCTACCTTGAAGTCAGCCAGACTTCCTGGTGATTATTCCACAACTTTTCAAGAAATTACAAGGGCTGGTTTCTAACCTGAAATGAAGAGATGGCTTATTTTTTCATTAGAAATATGGAGATAGAAATAGTGACACCTAAGACAGTTTGCTGCCATATCYCACCCCCCACTCCCCCTTATATCAAACAGTTCTGGTGTCACTGAGCCTTAGAGCCCTTTTCCACTTGATTGTGTCCAAACAGCTCATGAAGGGTGACATATTTTAGAACACAACCTCAGTCTTCCTGGGTGTTTTTTTGCAGTTTAAATGCTGAACATCAACCGAAGCCCCCACAACATCTGGGTATATTTAACAGAAGAATCTAACAAAGCCACATTTCATTACTGTCTATGTTTTCACTTCCTTTCCCATCAACATTAATTGCAAAATGTGTGTGTAAATTGTGACTTAATTCTGACCCTTCCAGTCAACATCTGATTAATCTAGAAAWCTCTCATGCTTTCTCATCACCCTTTTGTACGACTGCTCATCACAGAGCAGACAGTTCYATGGCTGAACTGTTTGGATAGGGGTGGGACCCAATCTGAAGCCTTACACTAAAATCCCAGATCATATTGACTTTAGTGGCAGTGGCACATTTTGCTGAYGTAAGGATACAGGCACAGGAGCTGCACTTGAAACAATGATGTAATTACAACAGAAACTTGGGTCCCTAAGSTATGTTACAGCACGAGCTTTTAACACTTCACAGGCTTTACAGCATTTCTGGCAGAAGAAATAAGTCCTTACAGCAATAGAACAAGAAAAGATGGTATTTGATGAGAAGCRGATATTACTGAATGGTGAAAATGTGTGTGAAAGTATGCAAATGCCAACGTGAGGAAATGAAGAAGTGCACATTTTGGTCAAAGCCTAGCTTTGTCTGGCTTCAGACACTTGGTGTTTAGTGAAGTGGGATGTTTAGATATTTACATGAGGCTCTGACATGGRTCACACTTAGGCTGAAACCTGATGATCAGCAATTTCCTGATGATACATGCAGGGTATGGAAGGTGGGATCTGTTTACCCAAGGGGTAAAGTGCCACGCCAGAGCACACAGGCTTCAGCGAGGCAATTGGGACTGTGCTTGGCAAATCTCATCATTCCCACAGCCATTGCAACTGCTCCCAGGAGCACAGKGAGTCCCATGGCATGGCCAGGCAGGATCCAGGGCACTGTTTTTCATCCACTGAGCTCAGTGACTCAGTGTAGTAACCCTGTCCAGGGTCCCTTCACTGCCGAGGATGTGAATGAACAGGGATTGCAGCTGCACAATGCCTCAGCAGAGACATTTGTTCAGAGCACTCATGTGGCAAAACAAGCAACTACTTGAAAAGGAAGCAGTTTAACTGATTGTATTTCCTCCCTCTTTGATAACTGGACTGGGCTTGCTGACTCAGAAATCTTGCCAGGGTGAATTCCTTCTTGATTCTTGCTGCACTTGTAAGGATATCTACCCCTGCACAACCCCCTTTTTTTCTCCCCCAACTTTACAGGGGATGCTGAGAAGAGAAACATTGAGTCAGGTAGCAGCTCACAAGTGGATTAGCCTCAGTGACCTGAACTTCTTCTCTGCAAGCTCCCAGGCAGCTCCTGCTCCAGGAGCACCCACCTGTAGAGCCACTGTCCTGTGGATTTATCAGGAATGAACTGAACCCCTGTGCTAAATCCTGCTTCACATCTCTGCATTCCCAGGGCACTGGGACAGACTTGCAAACATAGAGAGTACCCTCTCCAAACAGATTGGAAGGGTCATTGCAGCTTAAAATARTCACCAAAAAGAATTTACAGATGCCAAATAGATTCTTCGCATAATTTTGTTTTGGCAAGGGTAGCTGTATTCAGAAACTAAACTGTTGCCTGAAACCCAATGCCAGTCCTTTTATTTTGAATTTCCTGTGAGCAACTATCAGTTAATGACCAGGAGTGACCAGCAGGGCTCACCCTGTCCATCTGGAAAGGGCTYGGGCAGAGCAGTGGGTGTGAGGCCAAACCCACAACAGCTGAGTTCTGCTCCCAGGGCAGCATCACATGCTGCATAAGCTGCTTGAGCTGCTGGTCTCTGCTTCTGTGCTTCAGCCAGTAAATTAGCAGATATTTTACAGTCTTTAAAAAGATATGGGCAACTACAAAGTATGTTTGTGCAACAAAAACAATTGTCTGTGCTCTGAAAAATGGGCYCTTTCAGGATATTCCTGCACCTTGACTTTTCCCCCTGCTAGGCTGCAGCAGAACTCTGCTGTACCCACTGAACTCTCTTCCTTCCCATATCCTTACAACCATCCCAGCATGCCTTCTTCTGTGCACCTCCCACAGATGAATATTTCTGAACAAGTTTCTCACATACTGTATTTTGAGTTTTGCTTTCAGTTCCTGTATTCCAGAGCCATTAAACACCAGCAATTCCTCTTCAGACACCTCAGCATGTGTTTCCAACCAGGACTGACTCTACGAGAAAACTATTAAGATATTCATCTGGTGTTAAGCAAAGCTCTGAAACRCACTCTAATGTTACAGTCAGAGTCTCCTCTTACCCGAGGACAAGGCCAGCTCTCTCTGCACTTCCACATTCTGCACATTCCCCAGCTCTGGGGCTGGGTTTGGAGCTGCTCTCATGTTCCCCAATGCAGCCCTTGGCTCCTTGGTGTCCCACACCTGCTGGAGGGCCTTGCCTGTTCCTGCAAATAGCCTCCCTCACAGCATTTGAGGCTGTTCATTTGATGCTTCTAGGAGACAGCCCTGAGAGGTTCAGCTGTTCATTTCTTGCCCTCCCACAACACATGAGAAAGAGAGTACTCAACAAAAAAAAGTCCATCTGCTGATTCATGGTAACACATGAATCCTTTTTTCTTGCAAACAGCATTGGCTGTGGTACAAATAATACTCCAGCTGATGCAGTCAAGAGCTTCCCAGAGATATGATAAGGAATCTGGGGTGGACTTCTAAAAGAAAACTGAAACAAAACCACAGCTTCCCCTCTGCCTTTGGGCTCATGCAGGGTGCCCAGCAGGTCACAGGATGGAGGGGAAGTCYTCCTGCCACACCACCCCTTCTGTACTGCAGCTGCTTCCTGTCCTGCACTGCAGCCTGTCACCCCAATGACACATCTTCCACTTCTTGTATTTGCCAGGAGTTGCTGTGCACAGGTGCTCAGGCCCCATCTCTAATGAGCATTTATCACCAGTGAAACAATCAGGCCCTGCTGCACAGAGATCACCAGATCAGAAAAGCCAGAGARGACCTTTTTTCTCCACATGCTCTTTTGTTCCATTAAGCAAACATTCAAGCTCCTTAATCACACACTGGACTTATTTTGTTGCACAGACCTGTRCATACAACCTGAGTCTTAACATTTATGTCTTTGAGAAGCATCTAGCAACAAACTGCACCATCTACCTGGATCACAAGGCATGGAAGAGCCAGGGAAAAAAGATTTTCAGTCCTGCAAGGAGGAGCGAAGCCTTAGAACCTGAAGGAGCTAAATGACTCTGACTTGGTCCAATGCATCCACAGTCCTGCCTCCAGTAAGCTGGTGCTTCACCAGTCATCTTCAGACACAAGACAAAAGAGGAAGGTCTCATTTTTGCACATTGCCTAAATGGAGATTGCTTTTGTTTTCCTCCCTGTGGCACAAGGGCTGTACCAGGGACAGATCACACCTAGKTTTAGCAGCTCCATGCAGGAGTTCCAAGAAGGATTTAAAGCATCCCAGACTTGTTGCCTTGAAGTTCACCCTGTGCCATGACTCAGACTGGGCAGCACAGATGGAACATTGCAGTTCTGTCATCCACTCGCTGGGTCAGCCAGAGAGCACGGGTTGTCTTGGAAAAAGTTTCAAAGCATCATTTTGGCTACTGATTCTGAGGGTTTCCAGAAATGCTAATGAGACCCAGCACAAATCCAAGCACACACAAGTCCTGTTCTCCTTGTAGGGGAATCCATGGCACACACCAAGAAGGAAACACCAGCACCCTGCTAAGCCCTGTGGCTGAGARAGCTCTGCAGCCACTCCAGCTCCATAGTTCCTCTTTTATTTTTTAATGTTACGGAGTGTAACTGGTTAATCAGTCATGCCCCTGTGATTCCTTAGCAAGGTTCTGCACTTCACTGAGGTTCTCCCTGCACTAATCCTTCTCTGGCTGTGCCAGGGAGATGCTGCTCTGTACAGCTCAGCCTCGTCATTCACTGAGTGAATGCTCCAGGAGACAGAAGCCTGGCCACTGCAGGCAATTGCAGCTGCAGCCCCTCGGACCAGGAAACTCTTAAACTCASACAGTATTTACACTGTAGCCTGAGCTGTTGCTGTAACAGCTGCCTTGGGCACTGTTTGTATATAAAGGACCGAATTCTACTTAAGGGCAGCTTTAGGAGTTGTCMAGTAAAACTCAGATGTCTCATAAATGTGCCATCTTTACCAGGGTGAACAACTCGAGGGGATACCTAGCAAGGGCTAATGAAGTGCTTTAGAAAAGGCTGCAAGGTCTGGATWTTTCATTTAGTTAGCAGTGACTGTGGTTACTGGAGTGCAGTTACAGCATTTAGCCCAAGATTCCTCGTGCTGTGAGCCAGGGTGGCAGCAGAGTCTGGGGGGACTCACGGGCTGGCCCTGGGCACAGGGTGATCACCTGGAGTTGTTCTGCTCTGCTGGGGTCACTCCGCTCTCCTTTCTAGCAGAGCACAGATGCAAAATGTCCTCCAGTGAGTACAGCAACACCACTAAGATCAGTCGAGTTCTTACCCTTAAATCTTCCCCTCTTTGGCCACAGTAATGGAGWGACAAAGCTTAGCAGATATTGCATTCTATTACAGATACAACATCCCRATAGGCCTGCATGCCAACCTCTCCGAGGGCTCCCCTGTATGTGAGGTGCTCAAGACAAACTCATCTCTGCTCAATGAAGATGGATTCTTCCAYGGAAAAATGGGATTCAGAACAGCTCTRTCAAAAGGTCTCCTGAATATGTCAGAGGTAGGAGAAAGCCTCATACATGCTTTCCTCATACAAATCAGCCTGCACTTACCCCAGCATGTAAGAGCTGAGAACCTCTCCCAGATCCAAGCCGTGAGGGGGCTTAGAGATGAATCCTGCCTGTGCAGCTCAAACTGGCTTTTAGGTCCTGGGCCTCATTGTACCAAAGGCTCTGCAGCCTTTGAGAACACATTCAGTGCCTGCATACATGGCTAACAGTTTATCTGAGGGGGCAGAAGGGGCACTGGAACAGTCTTTACAAAGAACTCAGAAATCAGTAAAGAGCAAATGACAGAAAAGTCKTAAGTAGGCACCAGTCTTTTCATCAGCTTGTGAGAGATTTTGGTTCTTTAGGGAGATGGCTGGTTTTGCCCCTTGTTCATGTGATCAAAACTGTGTTCATTTTAAACAGAAATGGATGTTTAAATTTCCTGTGTAATTAGAACATGCCAGTATGAGCACCATCCCCGTAAGCAGTACCACAATGAGCCCCATGCCCCRGGGAGGCTCTGGGCAGCCCAGCAGTGCTGCACATCCCTGTACAAGCACAGCACCTGCTGCATCCCAGGGCCAGGTTGTGACTCCTTCCCAGTGAGGTCCCAGCAGCTCCATCACTTCCCTGCTCTCAGCCTCTGACCCTTTTTTGCTGCACAGGTGAAGCAGGAGCTAAAGGCCCAGGTGGAGCTGTTCCATGAGCTGACAGGTCACCTACCTCCTCACATGGATGGGCACCAGCATGTCCATGTTCTCCCAGGTAAGAAGGAAATMCTCCTGTCCTCAGTGCCAAGCAGGTGAGAGAGGCAGAGGGTTGGCTCAGAGGGGACTCTCCCTGCCACAGCAATAAACCCCTCCATAAAACGCCTGCTGGCAGGTGCATTTTGAATGTTCCCATCTGACCTGACAGTCCTGCCCAGGCCCAAACTCTCTTGGAGCTCTGGATTTTCCCATAGCAGCACCAGGGCATTAATGGCACAAATGGCTTGGGTKACAACTTTTCCTCCAAGGACCAATAATTCTCAGCATCCTAATGTTCTCACCCACATTGAAGGAGGCAGACCAAAGCCAGCAGCAGACTGGCCAGTTTAAACTCTTRGAGCTTGCAATAGCTGGTGACTCTTCCAGATGCTACAAGAACGCCCTCCTGTCAGTTGTGTTCCTACCACAGTTCCTCCCTGCAGATCTCAGCTTTAGAGAWGAGCAAGGATCTTTTGTCCTTGTTTTGCAAGTAAGGCCATTGTACACAGAAGAATGACAGGCTACCTACAGCAGATGTTGAGGGACAAATGTTTTCAGTATAGAAGCTGATTCCCATGCAGGTGAAGAAAACCATTTCAAGCAGTAGATAAACCAAGTGGAATGTTGTTTTGTTAACCACAAAAGGAAAGAAGCCTCTGTGTTAACAGCTTGCAGCGRGCACAAGGAGCTGGTTATACAAATCCTGACTGCAGTCTCTGGTTTTACTTACAGAGGTCAGGCATGTATTTGCAGAGGTGYTGGAGGAATATGGGATTAAGTACACACGTGTCCCAATAGAGCCAGGCCTTCATAACTGTGACTGGATTCCACCATCCCTGATGGACTTTTACCTGGGAGTAGAAGAAGATTCTTTTAACACAGTGGATGTGTTTACAAAACATGGAATAAGGTAAGATAGATATTACTCACCCTTTTTTTTGTAGTAAAACGTTTAGATTTTATCAGTTCCTGATAGTATCTTTCAAAAATGGAACACCACCTTTCTCTTTCCTCTGAAGCCTTAAAAAGAGGCTCGGGAGGAGCACGAAARTGCTGGGGGCACAAGGCTTAGGAAGTTTTGTTTGAACAGAGATGAGTCACTTTCTACTTGAAAGGAAATGTTCTTTTGAGAATATGCTTCTCAGCCTTCCTAGTGAAGCTGTATCAGCCTGGCATCTGGAATGTCAGGAGAAATGCTGCATCAAYGCTGGAATTTAAACAGCATAATCTCAGGAAAGTTTGCAAGAGCTAACTTTTCATCTTCCTGATGTAGTAGAGAAAGGGTTTTAAGTAGCAGGAAAGAGAAAAATTAGAAGCAAGTATTTGTTAAGGKGAAGCAAGAAGCTCTGAGAGCTGGCAGTAGCACAGAGGGTGCTCACTGCTCTAAGCAAACAGCCTTGTCAGTGTCCTGCATCTCAGGGGCCAAACCCAGAAAACTCAGGCCTTCCCCCAGTAAAATCCTTTTCTTAAAAGCTTAGACAGGGTTCACTTGAGACCCTTGCAGTCACCTTGGAGCAGATGTCATTACTTCCTCAGTCCACTGGAAACATCATTTTTTGGGATTATTTTTTTGGTATCAGTTGTTCTGAACACCAACAGCAGGCTGGCATTTCTCCTTTCTCAAGAAGAGCCAAACTGAGCCCTTCTGGAATCATTCAGGTAAAGATTCCAGCCTCGATTTCTTCCAAAAACATTGTCATTCTGCCCTCCCATGCACTTGCTCAACTCCCCTGGACTCGTACAGGCCACACTTAGAACCAGCATTTACAGCCGGACTTGAACAAAGAATTTAGTGAAGCTACTCAGAAGCAGCGTGTAGGTGGTGTCCTGTAGCAGTAACATTTTGTCCAGTCATGATGGCTCYTTGATACATTCTGGCAGAAGGCTTCTTTAGCTGGGTGCTTTCCGGTTTATTTCAGTCACTTTTGTATCTATTTCACTCAGGGTTATAATTCAGGCTTTGGTTATTTTGATAGTGAGGCATTGCTTGGTTTAGAGCTGCTATTCCCTTTTGGGAAAATAAAATCACCTGTGAGCTCACAGATGCCAAACACCCCATGTGACACAATGTGTGTCAATACTGTCCCAGCAGCAGTGCTGGGGCTTGCTGTCCCTGCAGAAMTGCTGCTTCAAATAGGATCCTGGTTTTAATAAGGAAAGCTTCTGGGTTTACTTCTGTTTATAGCTAAAAGTTTTTAAACCTCCTCCCCCTTATCTATCTTAAATTTTAGGTAAATTTTGCTTCTTAATCCCTTGGGCATAACAGAATTTTTTACCTACCTCTTTAGCATTAATGCCAGTGTTCCCTCCTCTGGCTGCAGGTGGCCAGACATTTACATAGGCCTGAGCACCATGGGCAGGAACATGTCTGTCAGCAGCATCTGCAGCGCCATCGACAGCGCCATCCTGGAGCTCACGGCCAAGGCACCGCAGAGCAGGACAGTGACAATCGAACTGATGGTGCACCCAGGCTACCCCAGTGTCCCCCCTGTTGGCGGCTGTGGGGAAGGACCGGATGACTTCTCACAGTCCTGGGAGCGCCTCCATGAACTCCAGACATTAACTAAACCGGAACTGCAGAGCCATTACAAAAACAGGAACATTCAGCTGTGTTCATTCAAAGATCTTTAAATAAATGAGCATCCATCTCTCCCTCCATCCATCCATCCATCCATCCATCCATCCATCCATCCATCCATCCATCCATCCATCCATCCATCCATCCATCCATCCATCCATCCATCCATCCATCCCTCCATCCATCCATCATCTCTCTGTTATCAGTGTCACAGGCCCTCTACAGCTCACAGGAGCTGTCAACAGCCTGGGAATGGACCCCACCCCGCTGTGAGCAGCTCCAGGTAGGGCGCCAGAGCCTCAGCTGCCCGTGTGAAGGCCACATCTGCTCTGAATGTGCCAAACCCATTCTGTGACACCCCCTCCACAAGACCCCGGTGCAGCACACGCTCCTGGGGCTCAGCTCCACAGACACACTTGGCTGTGAGGGACACTTTGCAGCACGGCASCCTCAGGGGCCTGATCATCTTTCTTTTCAGACTTAATGACAAAACAAGAAATGTGCTGGGGAGTGGGTGCTGCTATGGAGTATCCACTCAGTGTAGGTGACCCATGGCATTTGGTTTTCTGGAAGCACCCAGTCCCTGCYCCTCCACTCGTAGCTGCTCACTGATGGTGAGGGATGCTGGGACACGTCACCCTCAGAGCCTTCCTCTGGTTGGAGTGGTCGGGTCACACGCAGCCCCGTGGGGTCTGCAGCYGCCTCAGCTGGCAGGAATTGTGTCTCTGCCTGTTTATGTTGCCTCTTGGCATTAAGCACCCCCGGGAAAGTAACATCAGCTGCAGCCCTTTTGGAGAGGCTTCTTATTTTTTGGATGACTTTGCAGGAGCAGCAACTGTTGACCCATCTGCTATTTCAGTAACTGCTGCATATGAGAGCAGCAGCAACTGCTCCTGAACCACCCACTGCCCCTCAGGACAACCATGTGCTGTGCAGAGTGGAGAAGGTCCCTGTATTTGTCCCTTTTGTCCCTRTCACCAAAGCATTCAAACTCCAACAAGCCCCAGTAATGCTGATACATTCTTAACTGCAGCTCTGTCATTCCTTTCCCATGGGAACTTTCACATGGGAAAAAATTATTTTAGATTGTTTATGCTCATTTTCTGCACAAGAATGATCTATTTAATGTAATCAGTTTTGTCAACCATGTTTTTTAATATTAAAAATGTCAGATCATCATTCTTTTAAATGAAAAAATAAACTCAGGCCTTTTCTATTGCAAAGCTTCAGGAGGCTTTTGGGTTTGGTCACAGGTGGTGAGTGAACTCAACCCATTCACCTGTCTGCTCCTATAGCCCTGGAAAGGCATCCCTTTCTATCATTAATGGGAACCGTCTGACCTTTCCTATAACGTCTGAAGAAGTTTTTGCCCTGTACAAATAGGAAAAACATMAAGGATGCTGCAGAAAGTATTTTTTCCGATTTTTTTCTAAACTSTAGAAAATGCCTTAAACGCTTGAGCCGGGCCGGGTCGGAGCAGGGCAGGTGTCACCCGCTCCTGCCGGGGGCACCGGGACAGAGCCGCGCCCGGAGCGCTCGCACCCAGCAGCGCCACCCGCTGCCCGCCGGGCCTCACTGCACCCTCCCTCGGTTACGGGACTGTCACCACATCCTTATGGATACTATTAAACTTTATTATAAACGCTTAAACTGCTCCATGTTCTAACCGCTGAACTGGCTCTGATCGCACCCATGAGGACATTACAYACCTGCGGAATTTTGGATGCATGTCCTGCTAGCTGAGCACTGAAGACCTGAGGGCAGCCTTACACGAGCACTGTATTGTGAACAGAAAATGGATTTTAAAATTCTGTATTTTAAATGAAGAGCATTAAAYCCCAAATTTCCATTTAATTTAGAGAAATGAATGAAGAACTACTAAAAGACTACTAAATAGGGAGCCTTTCAATTATGTAAATTATAGGGAGAATAAGGAAATTTCTCAGCGGTTCTGTGAAAGCTTTAAGGACAACCCAAGTTCAAATTAAACACTACAACAATCCCRGTTAACCCCCAGACCTCTGTGAAAATAAAACCATGCCACAAAGCCTTTGAGAGCAATTTTTATTAGGGTAGCAGAATGGACTTGCAGAAAGCCTATACCAGTACTCCTGGGTGTAGTTTCACCAGTGCGCTGCTTTTATTGTGGATGTTCAACTGCACATTTAGAATTCAGCATGGCTTAGGGAACCAGAGAGAACAAGAGCTTGATTTCCTGAGTTATCATAGGACTTCGCACTTGGATTTCTTCTCCTCAGCCTTCAGCCACACAGGTGCTGGATCCCTTTGTTCAGAGGCTGCCCCGGACGCGTGCCAGCACTTTGTTTACACATTTTGCAGTTTAGCAGTTGGACTATGAAGAACACACCAAGAGAACTGATAGCAAGATCTGTCTTCTGTGTGACGAGCTGGAATGGGAACGGCCGGTGCGGYGCTGCCGGAGCTCCTGGAATCACACGGCCCCTCCGTCCCTTCCCACGGCATCTGGGTCACAGCGAGGCAGACAGACGCAGTCTTTGACCTGAGAGGCTTTACAACCACAGAGTAACTATTGAGTAGCAACGAGGGCAGCAAACTAGTGCTACAGTTTTGTTTCAAATAAAATTTAGAGAATGGTAGRTTTCCATGCCAACAGACATGATCAAAAGGTACACTGACTCAGGTGATGCAGAAGTTACACACTTCGGTTTGACAGATAATTTGGCATTATTTTATTATGTATCCGAGTGAGCGTGAACGAAACAAAATCAGTACCAACTTTCTGCAAATGAAGACACGAAGATGTGAAAATTTGGTAATAGTGCTCTCACAAGCCTGAAAACACTTAGGAAATGCAAGTTTCCGTAAATAAGGTGAATGTGGTTTAACTTTATTTACCTGCCAAAGAATCTGTCTAAGAACACTTAAACATAAAATTTCTTAGCTCCCTAACTTATAAAAAAATTTACTTTCAACAGAGGTGAGGTACTGGGCTGTCATTGTTTACACTAAATCAGAAATGAAAGCCAGAGGAGAGGGATGAATGAGGAAATAGCAAATACACAAGACATTAAAACCAAGAAAGACCTACTGCTTGACACACTAGTTTTGAAAGGTTGCAAAGGCAGAGGCTGTATTAAAACTGAATTTAGGAGTTCAGGCAACCACCCAGGTGTCAGGGGCTTTTTAACTCAGCTTCCTGCACATCAAAATGATATGTGCTCCCAGATACCGATGGATTTCTGGAAATAATCCATTCACTCAGTAGCAGACCCCAGCTGGAGAAGGGGAGACAGCAGGTTGACTGTGTGGCAGTTTGACTGTGGAGCTACGATCACACTCAGGGCCAGGGAGGAAAGGCAGCGGAAGCAGCAGAGACACGGCAAAGGAGGCTCAGTTGTGAACAGAAAGGGCTCCTTTCCTTCAGCATGCGCAGGAGGGCCCCGGGGCTGACACTGAGCACTCACTGAACCACCTGGCCGGGTGTGAACACAGCAGCACCAGCACTCTGGCACACATTGCTCAGGCCTGGCCTCACAGCAGCGCCGGGGCTGGAGCGGCTCCAGGGCCGTCCCACAAACACKGATATTCCTTACGCATTCTGAGGGAAAACGTTCACAGGGGACAGTGGTGCTGTCAGGTTTAGTTCTTGAATTCAAAATTAACATTTCCAAAAGAATGATTTTAAACTCAAAAGACACTTTGTACTTTGGTACCTCTTGGTCCCCAATTTCTGGAACTCTCCTGGACTAGTTGCAATGTTGTTCTGTGCACATTTCCCGCTACTCTGCATAGGTATTAAAGATAGAAGTGAAGRAAGTTTGCAATCACATTCTACTACTTGTTTGCTACAGGTTTTTCCAAAATTTTCCAAAAGCAGAACATAAGCCATATTCTAATTCAATGACGCACACAAAWACTTGGGTTGCCCCGTTTAATAGACATTGGCCAGATTTACATCAGACCCAGACATTATTTCTGATTGGTTTTGTGGGGTTGGGTTTTGTTTATTATGTTACAAACTGAAGTTCAGGGGAACTTGCAACAAGTCCCACAAAGCACAGTGCAACATTTAGAAAGAAAAGTAAACGAAACTGCCAAACACTCAATCATTTTCTGCCAGAACTGGGATATTTTTCCTAAGACATCACTTTGAGAAGGGGAATAAAATTCAAAGAATGAACTCAAGATAGTGGGAACTGCAAGGAAAAATAAGAAATGACAGCCACAACCTTTTCAATTTAAGGGCAGAATATAAGTCTAAGATATTTTTGATAAATTCTGACAAGAAAAAGAAAACAGCATACTTTAAAGTATATTGAAGCAGTGATTTTTAAACAAAGAAAGCAGAACTAGAACATCTTAAATTTTAATCCTTTCTTTACAGGTTACCTAGCCCACTTTTGATTAAGAAAACTGTAGAAAGTTAGTAACAGCCACAAGTTCACACCGAAAGGTGGCACTTGTCAATTTTCCATAGAGTCCTGCTTTACGGGGTGTCTCAAATGCACTGCTCCGATCTTCTATCATAGGTTGCTGACAGCACTTGTGCCAGATTTTAGTCCACTGGTCGCTTTTCACCATATTTCTTTGTAAACTCTTCAGCGTTCTTACAGAATTTTTTACGGTCCTTAGAGTATTCTTCAGCTAGGTCAGCCCGGAGAGGGTGCTCGGGCTGTGGATCATTCACCAGTGCTATGAGGGACTGGATTACTGTCAAAAGAAGTATAAATACCGTCAGACACTATGATGGTTAATTTTTCAAAATCAAAATGCAAGCAAAATTCCCCTGTAAGAAAAGAGCTTTAACTGCATTTAAATACATCCCCATAAATCTCAGTCCTTTTCAAGCGCAGGGCGTGAGTAAGCTGCAGCGATATGCCAAGATTTAGTTCAATGACCATGAATGAACACCAGAAAATCGTATTTGTAAACAAAATCAACATGAATAGAGACCAAAGTGCACTACAAATGATTTCCCATGTAACTGGCATCCCATCTAAAATCCTTTCCTATGGCTGAGAAAGAATCGAAGTTCCCAGACAAGTTCTAAAGGGATTGGGTAAAGATGGAATTTGCACCATGAAGCATTTCCCAACACCTGTCACACTGATGCAAGCTGTGACTGAGCCTCTTCTGGAAACCCTTTTTTSCAGCTTTATTTCCCTCTGATTCTTACTTTCATGAACAGCAGGTTTTAGTCTCAAGAGCCCAAGGCAGCCACCAGTAGAGATGCACTGGGCAAACAAAGGGGTGAGAGTGGCAAGGTGCTCACAGCAGTGTCACCAATGTCCCTGTCACTTCCCCAGGAAAGGGGAACTGCACCTGACATTTACACATCAAACCTCACATACCAGAGTGACATTTACTGCTCCATTTTCCCAACACACATCCTCACAGGCATTGGAAGTTCACAAGGATCAGGGTCCCCCTGCCCGGCCCTCCAAAGGTGTCTGTGCTCCTGGGCAGGAATGCAAGTTCTTACAATGCTGATCACTCCAGCAGATGCTGCAACACCAGAGTGGCTTCTTTTGGGGCATTGATTTCAGTCCTTTCCACATGAACAAACCTCCAAACAAATACTCAAAAKCCACACTCAAATCTGACGTCTGTCTCTAAACTGCTAAACAGGAACATTTCTTACCACAAATCCAAGTTCAAACTGCAACAAACCATCTAAGGAATGTAGAATTGATAACAGCTTCCTCCACAGTAACTCACCAGTGCTGGCCTTACAACAACTGCCACCACATTGCTGACTGCTTATGAAACCAGCAGAAACACTCAGTGACAATCCCCTCTCACTGAGCAAAGCATGCAAAAACACTACAGAGAAAATGTGTTCAATAACCTTAATAACAGTAACAACCAAAAAAAACCAGGCCTGTCAGAACAGGAGCTGCCTCAATATCAACAGMATTTGAAAACTATCCTGCCATAATAGTTGTTTTCAATATTAAGCATAAATTAATAAAAAGTACAGCAGTAAGATGCACATTCAGGATGTGGAAGGTAAATTAATGATTTATGATGAACCTAATCTCTTCACTTTCTTCACATCTGCACGAACAAAACCCATCACTTTGATGCTCTACTAATAGTGTCACATTGTTTCATTGAGAAAAGCTCAGAGTGATTTTTCAGTGCAGAAGAAATCTGAAGAAAAAGGAAGAGATATTTAAGCAGGGCTGCAGTAGCACTGTCACAGGTTCATACAACCATTTAGTAAAAAAAGATGTCGACACTAAAACAACTTCTTGAAAGMGTTAAGACAAATGAAAGACCACAACAGAAAAGATCATGAGAGATTTGCAATATTTTGATACCCAGGATTGGTTCCAAATTCTGATTTTAGCACAGCTTTTATTCACTCTTTCAAATAAAAGGGAAATTCCCTCTCTCAGAGAGATACTGACTATTTACTCCACATAAGCAATTGCTTCAGTAGTTCCAACTAACGACAACTTGATTTTCAAGCTGGGTAGAGACATGTAATTCCTTTAGTTAAACAGAAAAGGCTGACAGGGCCAAGAGAGCTGCTCAGGTGTTAACAGAAACCTTCCACACATTGTTTCCATCTCCTCTCTCCCRAGAATCTTTGTCCTGTACAACCAGGGATAAATCTACAACAAATCTAAGATCTTGGCCGTCCTATTTCACAGGTTCTTTTTGCTGCCACCTCAGTTTTCCCAATATTGAGCTGCTTCATCTCTTCTGAAACAACTACAAGAATTTGCCTGTTTTGTCTTTGGGCAAGATCACACAACTGGAAGTRCTTTTATTAGCATGCAGAAGTACACAGGAAAATGAAATCCTAAGTACAGCATTGTTGCCTATCAGGAACACAGATCATGTGAAAACTACCTTGAAGAGCCTGGAATAGAGAAATACTTTCTCCTATGGAGCAAGATACTTCAGTGTCACTGAAGTTCTAGCACTGCCTAAACTGCCACTCATTTGAATTAATACTCTTAAAAAATTAGCATTTTTTGCAAGGATGTTTGGTTTCTATAAGAATAAAAGCTAAATATCCAACTAATCATTACGTGCCAGAAAACACAAAATTCTCACCCAACAACTAATGAAAGCAACAACAACAGAAAAAAACCCCWACTTATATCACACTCAAGACTGCCACAGAACCTGATGAAACTTTTCCTTACAATATTTAAATTCTCATCCAAAGACACTCTACACAATAAGCCYGACAGCAATGATCTTTTAAGAACTACAACTTAATCTGTGTTATGATTTCAGATTTTGTTTATGACTCCCTTGGTATTTCAAACCATATGTTCAAATCACTTAACCACATGGCAGATTATAAAATATACAAAGCTTTGAGGTTTTGGACACTTTCTTTCAARCATCCAGGAATTTACTGAACACCTCTGGATTCTGAAGTCATATTTTAAAAAGAAATACAGAATAACCCCCACACAAAGTACCAGCAAAATTTCAAAGTATGCTCAGGATACTTCCTTCATAAACTCCTCAGTCATGAAGAGTTTTGTGGTTTCCYGGAGGTGGAAATGCCACTCCAGTGCCAGCACCTCACATTCCAGTAACAAAATGAGATTCCACAAGAYTTGTACTCTGCTCACCACACGTGATGCATGACACAAACCTCACAATGAACATAACCTCAGAGCACTGAGCAGCTGACAAGCTGAAAAACTATTAGCTTTAAATTCAAATACACTGTGAAGTTTCTCAATACCCAGTTCCTTCTCCACAGAGTCCTACCTTGGTCAGTTTTGGTTGCTGGCTTCCAGTTTTCAGCACTAATTACTGGCAGACAAACCTGCCCCTTTTCATCGATGTTAGGGTGATAGATCTTTGTTTTAAATGTAATCTTAGGAGGTTTGAATGGATATTCTGCTGGGAAGTTGATTTCAATTCTGAAGGCTCCTTTATCATATGGAGGATTGTCCTGCAATAAGAAGGCAGAATGTCAAGAATGTGGCACATGGTAATGGACACAAGTGAAAAAAAGCATGGTACAGATTTGGATTTCTTTCATCTCTTGAATGACCTCTGTGAAAGGCACTTTCTACCAACACTTCTGCCAGGTCTATGTGTCAGAAAACCTCAAAACCTATTTGGGGAGAGGCAATACAACCTGCACATTTGCATCCACCCTGGAAAAAGCAGGTTGCCATTGTCCTACACCTGGCTGACACTTCTATTGATAAGGAAGCATCCAACTCCATTTACTTCCAACTCAAGGCCCTGTCTAGTTTCATTCCCAGCTTTATGTTTCCAAAAACACAGTAAACCCTTTCCAATACACAAACAGGAGGCCTGACAAGGGAAAGGGGTTTCTGAGCACAGTTATTYTGTGTGTCTCACAACATGGTGGCATGAACAGCAAAGCTATTTGATTTGTCAGATCTCCCTAAACGTTCCGAGCACGTTTTTGTGCTGACTACACAAAAATTTGCTGAGCATTCATTGGTACTAAAGATAGATATTCACTGTGTTTGCTGATGAGAACATTCTGAATTTGTATGCAGTTTTAGCACCCACTCTTATCAGATCARTTTTGAAGGAGCAGGATGAGAGAACTGTGAAGTGAGCAAAGCAGTTCTTCATGAAACAGAAAAAACAATGCYCAGAATTTCACTTAGAAAACCTGTTAGACTATTGATACTGCTTCAGATACTGCACAGAAGAGGAGGCAGAACAAAAATAAACCATYGCTACATTTAAAGCCTATGAAAACACCATTCTGCACTGAAAACAGTAACTATGGGATGAAGCCTTTCCAAACACTCTGGGAACAAGAATGAAAGGATGAGAGTTTCCAGTTGGTGTAAAGTATAATCACACACATCCTTCATTAGCATCCAGACCATCCCCTGCAATCAATCCCACTTCAGGATTTACCAATATTTGGGATGGGGAGCATTCTATTAAAATATTAGTCAACAGAAAACATTTAATTTTAGGCTTATCCATGTGGATAATYTGGTTATGTGTCTGTAAGAAATACAGCACATTTCGTGCAATCAGAGGGAGAGGCAACTGCAGCAGCTTTAAAATAATTTTTTACTCGAGCAACCCMAAAAGCTTTGGAAGTTTAAGTAATCATTTGTGGTAGTGCTGACAACTTAGGCAGTCACTGTCCTCTTTCCCCACAGCTCAATTGTTCTTGCATCCATCACATGCTGTAATTTGTGAGGATGTTCAGTGAACTGACACGGGAAGTGACCTGCCTTAAAAACATCCATTTTCTTCACTGTACCTCAGCAATACACTGAGTCAAAGATGTAAGTAGAGTATTCAAGCAATTGATTTCCAGCTATTTGTAGTATTTGTTTTGACATTGACAAGAGAAATAGTATTTTAAATTCYGAAGCACAGGTTGCATTCAACTGGAGTGGTTTTGCTCTGCAAAAGTTTGTCCATAGACAGCAGTTTTGATTAAGTGAAATGAGATTCATGGTACACCAATGTACTCTCTTGTGAGAACAAAGAGACTGGACTAGATAGTCTTGTTTTGATGTTGAAATCAAATAAACAGTGTACCTTGGCCACCCCCAGGACACAAAATAGCTAAAGAGACAGTAACACTAAAACATCCACAGCATATACTCACAATAAAAACTAAGACTACTCTTTGAACACAAACAATACATTTTAAATTACTATAGAAAGCATAATTTCATTACAAAATTCCCCCTTAACTATACCAGCAGTGAATTTGAGGCCATTTCCCCTGTACTGGGGCATATTACAAATCAAAAGGCAGGTCTGGGGCATAGCTCACTGCATCAACATTTGAACACTTGTGATGCTGCAAAGCTTTGCAAAACAAACACCAGGCTCATCCTCTGGTGAGCAGAAACTGTTAAAAATAGCTGCTGTACACCACACATTCCTAATCTTAACAGGAATAGACAAGTATTTTTGTATTTTGTTTTATTAGTCATATTTACCAACCTTACACAGCTTCAAAGCATTATCAAAGAGCTAAACTGTTACACACGAGCCACAAAGAGCAGAGTGGCTGATTAAAGCAGGTTGCTCCTCAGCTCTGTCAGATTTCAGTGTCAGATCCCGCCTGCTTTGTTTGCAAGAGTAGCGTCAGCCACTCGGAGGAATCACTGGCAGGCACAGAAGTAAACAGTAAATTTAATGTATTCCACAGCATTCAAAGTGCAAAGGCCCAGCCATTACCTCAGCCTGTGCTGTGAACTCAGAACAGCCTCTGACTAACAAGGCAAGGCACTGCTACAGAGATGGCTCAAAGTCTTACTCATACAATAAAACTGCTCATGCAACACACACTGCTTGGGAGGMTTTCTGGTAGCACCCACAGAAAACCACAACTGCAGCCCCAGTGGCTCATCCCCTATTGCTGCAAACTAAAAATAGCTCTTAGAACCAAGGGAGCCACTGCCCACTGCTAGGGGCCACAGGAGGTGAAAATCCCAGTGACTTTCAACCAAGAAACCAACACACCACATTTCCTACTTGCCCCTTAGTAACAAATACCTCTCTATTTGACTAATAAAATGSCTATCTATTTCAATTAAAYATTCTCTTAGAAKACTGYAGTRCTTKYAAAAAAWTAAGTGAAATAGGTTTATTCTGGCATTAACTGATGCCTAAATAAAGATAGTACTTCCTTTGAAAGAGCTCACTTTTGAAAATTCAAACCTTCTCCTTGCATTGAAATTTTCCCAATCAACTTTAGCATAGTAATAAATCTAGTAAATGAAAAAAAAAATCATATAAGAAATATTCCATATTTCCTTCCTTTTTCCAAAGTCATGTAGATTTTGTACTTTAAGCTTAATGTAAACCAAACTTCCCTTGCTTCCCCCTTCCAACACCCCTCCCAGTAGSCCAGGGCAACCTCTGAGCTCCAGCCATGGGCCTACAATAACGAATTATTTCATGGTCACCAGCAGCCCTACTGAGCAATGGATTTATGACATACAAATGATCCTCATTTTATTTTAAAGCTCATAAGGAGTAGTCTATACTCACAGGAACAATAAGCCCTTGCCAGGTCAATAAATTAGCTTCATCAACCTGGATATTACGGAAGTTTTTCATTCCACATTTGCGGATTTCTTCAAGCTCCTGAAAAATAAAGCAAAGTGGTAAGTTAATGACTGCATTAAGCAAGATGCTCACATTTATTTTTCAAAATGCTTAAATATCAATGTGGGTTTCTTTAAATAGTGGTGGCAACCCACATAAATGAAAAATAAAACTCTGCACCTGTAAAAAGTAAAATTCTCTGAGACAAGATATCTCTGAGACCCTTATTTTTCAGTATGTGAGGAAAACACAAAAATGTCTTGCTATTAACATCCTTATAGACACAATGAAGCAGAAGTATTTAAAAAGTACATTTAAAAATGTTTTTCTATCTCAAATGTAAATCAGTGCCTTTGGTCACGGACTACTAATAATACTATGAGGTGAAGAAATAAAATGCATCTTAGCACTTGTCTGAAGGAGAACAGTGATTTGGAAGAACTATTTCATAACAGTTTTAAACAGGGATAAAATCACTTAACAGGTCAATTATTTCAACTGAAAATGAACAAATTCCTGCATGACCAGCTTAAATTGATCCAAACCCAGAAAAATACCAATCTAAGCCAAACAAGCCTTGTTTAGACCAATAACTTGAAAAGATTCAACTTTCRCTCTGTTTAGCACCTCAAAGCTCCCAGTATACATTAAGATTCCTCTCTTTAAAGCTGTGTCAGTYTTGAGCAAGGTTATCTTTCTGCACCAGCCAAACTATTTTTAAGCACTTAGCGAACCAGGTATCACCAAAACAAGTATTTCAGCATTTTTACATTTAAAATGACATACAGGCCTTAGTGTAGGGACTGTTTCCGGGAGTATTTCATAAGACCTACAAAGAAACACCTCAAGGTTTCACTTCTATTTCCCCCACAACARTTACAGTCCTTTGCTGCTGAACTCTGCCATGTTAACTTTAAAGAGAATTTAACTGAATACAAATTCAAAAGTCATCCACAGCAAAACATAAAAGTTTGCCAGTGCTTTCAAAAGTGCAGCACATGCCTGGTGGCTGCATAGGTTAGGAAAAATGTTGCTTATACAGCAGCTCTGGTGTGCTCTGACAGGGCTCAGTTCTGCACTGGGTGCAAAATTAGGCTGGATATAATTATGATAAACCCACCAATTACAAGCAAAGGCATTATACACTGAAAACCAAAAAAAAATCAGTTTTCCTGCTACAAGTGCTGTACTGTCCATGTTTTGGTTTGTTTTCCAAAATAGCTCTATGTTCAGCTTGGATCAAACCTTTCTGCATTTGACTGGCAGATTTAATACCYGCAGTAACCTCCTGCATAAATTCGGCATCATGATAAAATTTGAACCCAAAGGGAAAACAAGAATTCCAAACACACATGAAACAAAGATCATGAGAGCCACATACCAGAAAATGAACACTTACATTGTACCCACTGCACCTCCTAAAGCAAGAGCATACTCTGAACACAGAGTTTAACCTTGGAGTCTTGGATACCAAATAGATGCCTAACACAATCTTCATGACACTGACTATTTAGTCTACATCCATGCAATAATCCCCAAATTCCACTGCTGCTCGATTTTATGCAATGTCACAGACAGTTTGGGKTTTTTTTTAAAGCGCTAAGAGGATTATCCTATTTCTTTAAAGCAGGAAAACATAAACCCCCCCAAAATAATCCTGTGAAGCATACTTATGGGGATAGAGAGCAAACCAAAATATTCAAAAGAAAATAACCTTTATGATTGCAGCTTTAAGAGGTGCTTTACCATCACTCAAAGTGCAAATCCCCACAGTGCCTTACTYTGAGTGCTCCTGCACAAAGCAGCAGCTTAGGGAGAGCCGGATGGATCCCAGGCTGACTCTGCCCTGACAGGGTCAAGGGAATAACTTGCTCTGAACTGAGTTTAGCTGCTCACTCCCATCACATACAGAACTATGAAGTCCCAGCAAACCACTGCTCAACAGCATGTAAAAGGGATAAATTCAATTCCACACTAAATGTAACACATCAAACATTGGGAACAAAATAAGCTAATCATGCAGTMGGTATTTAAGCATGAATAAACGTGCATCATCACAAGTGCCTTCATTCTAAAACAAGGCAAGGAAAATGGGTTTAGACTATYTTCTAGTTCCTATATTAAAAACATGTACATGACAGAAATATCCCCCACTATGCCCAGTGGGATTGCAGCTTCCATACAGGAACTTTTGTCCCAGGTTCAGACCACAGCATTACACTACTGCTGGCCCAGAGAACAATTGTCCAGATGCAAAAAAAGGGAGGACTATGACTCTGTAATTCAGGTATGTTATTAAGCTAATAAAACAYATTAGAAAAGCGTGGCTTCATACTTCTGGAAAATTAAACACCTACATTTCRTAGCTAGATTCAGGTTWAAAAACTGGATGCTGAATTAGGAAATGTATGAATCCTGTGCAGAGATCATTATAAAATTGTAAAACTTTGTGTGCAATCAATGAAAAAGTTGAAAATGAATATACAGGTTGTTCCCCAYGTAAGAGAGGGAATTAAACAGTCCAGAGGCACTAAAAAACTAGACAAAAATTATTCCGGCCATCTTCCTCTTTAACTGCCATGTGAGGCCTTTGCAGGAAACCAATTCCAAAACCAAAGCCGTGGTAAATTCCTGGAGTGTGTCAGGSCTGTACCCTGCCCTTCTCCTGCGGGAGGAGCTGACAGCTGAGTGAGAGACAGCCAGGGATAAAGCTGGCAGTTCCATGCCTCATAAGCAGGCAGCACTGCAGAGGTCAGGGACAATCAAGCCACCTTAGCCAGGCATGCACCTGAACTATGGGCTTAGGCAGACTGCAATTTATACTAGAAAATTACTTTTCCCATACTAGAAGTGTTTCAGACTTCATGTATCACTCCAAATGAATCAACTCCGTGGTGGAGTTCTTTACAAACAGCTTTTCTCCCACTACTGTCCCCACCACTGCAATGTAACACTACCCAAGTCGTGCGTTCAGGAGTGGTAAGAACTTCACCATTCACAAATTAAGGGTGTGAGGGGAGGTTGTTTTGGCTTTTTCTTCTGGCAACAGCCAAAACCCATAACAAAGATCTAACTGCCTCAGGGCTATGGAGGCAGACACAACTGCAGTGTAAAAGTACTGTTAAAAAAGTGAATGAGCTACTAAATACTTTCAAGCAGCACAGAGTAAGAGCTAACAATACATCTAACATAGGCTTGAGCAACTCCAAAGGGACAAAACCTACTTTATGAGGTAAAATGATACAGTCCRGCTATTTATTTCAAAGTAATACTTACTAGTCTAGGCAGACAGTAAATAGATTATTTCCTTTTCTTGTCCTCCACCCCTTAATTTTGTCAAGTAACATAATTAAAGGAGCACAGGAGGAACGTAACTAAAGGTTAGATGACTGCAGTAAGAATTTCAATCAGTCTTCATTCCCCACTCTGTTATCAACCTTGCATGTGACCTTGCTGCATCGGTTTCCCCACTAGAAAAACTGAAATGTCTTACTTCACAAGGCTCTCTTGAGATGATGTTTGTAATTTGGAAATGTTCACAGGAAGTGTTATACACAGCACATGAAATGGAGAACACATTGTTTCAGAGGTGATGCCTGATCATCAAGTATATAAGGCTGAGGGCAGTTATACAAATACATACTGCTTCTCATATATAATCATTAAAGGTTTAAAATTGTACCTTTCAATACTGTGTAATCATTTGTGCTGCTCATATCAAAAAACTAAATGTGTGAAACCAGAGAGAAATGCAGCATCAGCTTAAAAGGCAGGTAAGTCTTTCAAAAAGCCTGCAATTGTTTTGTCTGTGCGTCTTTCAAGTTCTGGAACTTCTCTAAAAATCCAAGCCAGATAGGAAAATGCAGAAAAGGCAAATACTTGTAAGAGTGCAGTCCTGGAATATGGGAGTAAGTGTAAGTGTAAGAGCTCATACTGACTTTAGTGAGTTCTGCATCAAACCCACAATGCCATTAAATTCACAAACAAAAACAGAAGTCTACCGAAATAACTTCAAAGCATTATTACAACTTTCATTAACATGCTTATGAATACATTCTCTAAAAATGCCTGTAAGTCAAACAGGCTACAAAACACTGATCAGGAACAGGCCAGTTTCACTTTCTTAATTTACAGTATGGAGAAATATTACAACACCTTACAATCTGATTTTACCACACAAAAAAACCATCTATCACAAATCTAACCAAAAACTCAAATAGAATTTAGTTCTTACAAGAAACACCAGTAAGCTTCCTCTGCAACGTTACAACTCTGTATACTCATGTCTTATTGTCTGAAAAATTCTACTTTTTGGCAAAGTATTTTCATTTGATTAAAAATCCTTTTGTCAATTCTTTCTCAGTTTCAAAAAGGGAAAAGGAATCAATATCCTCAYTTCTGCCTAAGGACAATCATACGTTGCTCAAAACCGTATTTCCCTTGTTACTAAGAACTGAAGTTTTCATCAATTTAGAATTATTTTTCAAGCAACAGAGTTGTTTAAAACYCCTTCAATATGGGAGCACTATGGTGTTTACAGGACCACAGCATCCTGGAGATTGCAGGTCACCTATCTGGGTGTGGTCCCATGTTTGTGTTTTATCACAGACTTCAACAGTTGCATAAATGTTTGACTATGCAACTATGGAAGCAGAGTAAAAACAATAAAATTAAAATAATTGTCTATGTATCTCMCTTCATATGTGAAGTGCTATTTACTTTTTCAATCCATTTTCAATTTCTAACACTGAAGATACTTTTGAACATTTAAAAACCAGGAAACCAAAGCATGGATCTTACAGACACCTGAGCTCCATCCCAGGCAGTGACCAAGGAAGGGCACAGCTCCACATCTGGAGCAGCACAGCCTTCTCCAACAGCACCCAAACRCCCTGTGGGAGGTGCAGCTCAGCACCCCTCGAGACTACACCTGCAAGTGCTGTGGGTATCCAGCACCACAACAGCTTTCCCTCTGCAACTCCCCACCACCCCTCCACACAGCATTTTGTTACGGATCCAGCAGGGAGAATGGCTTGTTTTACATTGCAGGTGGCAACTGAGCAAAGCCGTTCCTTGAAATCTCTGGCGTGTCTCCAGGAGATCCATGTTCCCCATCATACATGTCTGGAGACAATTTCTATCAGAAAGGGCCATGAAGTTGAGTACCTCCTTTAAAAGAGAAGTCTTAGATCCTTTCCTAAATACAGCTGGGGCTCTCTGWAGAGGTGTAATGGTGGCTCAAAACTCCACCTCAGATATCACTGGAATATGAGTCATTAGCCATGTTTATTTCACATTTTTGCTAAGCTAGGTGTGCTCCTGGAAGGGCACACCTCCATGGAGCTGCTGTGATTCAGTGGAGAAGACTGTAGTTAGATGGCACTATTTGATGGGATAAAGCTTGGCAAAAAGAGGCCATAAAAAAGGTCTTTGGCCTAAGGAATCTGATTTGCTCRAACACACCCTCAGATAACAAGTCAGTCTTGTTCTCTTTGTAACTTGAATTCATGTTTAAAATTGAACAGTCCAAGTACAATTTGTAATGCTTCTTCCACACAGAGGTTTGTCAACTGTAAATGCAAATGGCTTCCCCAGTTAGAAAAGGGCATCCATTTCCACCTGGACAGTGGAAACGACTCAGTTTTCTACAGGCAGACAGTGTGTTATTATGGATGTACTACATCCAGCCTCTTTGAGCCATGGTGATTAATGTGAATAACTATGATGCATGACTTGAGTCCAGAAAAAAAAAATGCAGTACTTCAAAATGTTGGCAAGACCTTAAGGAAACAGCAATTGCTTAATTTTATATAACTATCTATAAAGGTTTAAGGTTTAGTCTCATTCATCAAAGACAAACCTGATATTTAGCTCAAAAAAAGACAGTTAATGCTGATCCTAAATTATTTTAAAGGTAATTGAGTRATACACTGAAAAACCCTATTTCCTTTAGTTATAATCACTCATCATTCCAAGACCCTGACAAAGACACCCCAAAGACTCATCCCAATTGCAAAACYTCAGCAGTGATAGACTTTGATTTARAAGACTGAAATTGTGAATTTGGGACATTAACAGTGATATTAGGTGATACACATTCGAGTCTGGACCTTCACAACATCATGCTGCAGCAATCCCGATGACATCATCCCTACGAGAGCTCTACTTTGTTCCTACAGAGATGAATGGCAAAACCAGAGCCATTTGGGCTGACTCGACTCCCCYGAGCAGGAAGGGAGCTGCCTTTCTAACAGCCTCTGCAAGTTGTGTGACAGAGCATCTCACAGCTCTTGAACTGCACAAAAACCACACACAACGTGAACAACACACAGATATCAGGCAATAAAAACAAAAGTGAAAATACAAGAGGTAAGTTATCAATGTCTCCTTCTTCCCACAGCACTCCCTCTGAGAAAAAACTRCCACACCAGTTTTCTAGAAAATAAGGTCACATTATCAAAACTCCTTTTTATTACACTGTAGTAAAAGACTGAAGCACTAACTAATATTAGTTTCAGAAGTACAGTGAAAATGGCGAGAGGGGGTTGAAAAGCAAGAGGCACTGAAAATAAAAAGGACAATTTTTCTTGCCTTTCAGATTTATTTTCTATTTTAAAATTAAAAAAAAAATTGAAAATAAATACTGTTCCTAACAGAGTAGTAGTGATGTGCTTTTGAACGATTAATGTATTTTTTTTCAGAACAGGCAGAAAAGCTGCCTTACAAAAATAATAAGCAACCATTTAATTTTATATTTGAAACTAAGGGGAACCTTATTTGACTACAAAGCAACAGACATATTGATTATGATACTAAAGCCCTGACAAATATAGCAGCTATCAAAAATGAAGTAAAGAATGAATACCATCTCACCAGGATCCTTAAGGACAATTAAAGGTTTATGCCTAGTGATTTTTAATATATATGAATGACACTGCAGGCAATGTATCTATTTAATTTTTAAATGCTCCATGGAAATAAACAACAAAATAAGCCTTATAGAAGCAATGCTGAGCTACTGGTTTCTTCCAAAATAATCAAGTTATAATGGTTATTTATGCATCTGCATMATTAAGGAAATGCAACTTCAGGACATGCCATGAACACCTCCTGGTGAAATCCCAGCCCTACTGGGAGTCCACATCGTTGAAGCCAGCTCTAAAACTAGTATTAAAGGATTACATTTAACAGAATCATCCAAATATCTGCCAAATCCCAGTGCAGGGTTACTCTGCTCCCCACAAGGGCAGGTTTTCTAACAAGGATGAAACAATCACTCCACACTTACAGGGTCTTTCCCCTTCATTTCCCAGGACTGGCCTGTAAAGTTCATTGATTTCCTCACAGGCACTTGGCATGCAAATCCTGTTGGGTACTCCCATAGCATTTTACAGATGAATAAATTTTATGTCACTACGTATGCGTGTCCTAGGCAAACCTCACTGCTTACAGTTTGTGATGTTAATTGGCAATTATATACAGCACATAAAATAAATGTGTGTGCTTTGGGGGCAATGGCTACTATTTTCCTTTCAAGAAGCATCTTCCTTCTCAAGGAAAATAACGAGAAACATAATCCCGAGTGATATTTTAGCATTAGCTACACGCGTTCTTGGTTAAATCCCAACTGGGGCCGAGTTTCCATTTCCCAGTATCATCCACGGTTCAGAACAAATAAGAGTGAAGACAAAAACATTACCACGTCCGCAGCGAATGAAGAAACTTCTGAACCCAGGTCCATGTTTCTGTGTGATAAACCTCTTACTCATACAAGGAAGAGATTACTCTCCGAAACAACGAAAACGAAATTATTTCATCCCTGGGCGTCTGGGGACGGTTCCTCACCGGGGCGAGCGCGGGGGAGCGGCGAACCAYCCCCCGCAGGGAGGGAGGGAGGAGAGGGCGCTTCCCCGCCGAGCCCTCCCCCGGCAGGGCCGCCGAGCCCTCTCGCCGCCCCGGGGATGCCCCGGCCCCGGGCGGCGGCGTTTCCTTCCCCCCGTCCCTTCCTCTTTGCTTAGTCACCCTGGAGCCCCCCGAGGGAGGGGGTCGGCGCGGCCCGCGGCGCCCGCCCAGCGCCTYCCCTTAGCCCCGGGCGGCAGCCGGGCCCGCGGAGCGCTGTCGGAGCGGGGAGCGGCGGCGAGGGGGGGGCGGCGCGGCCC